GCGTTATAACAATCACAGTTATAGCTTCCAAAGTTATGACTATATATGACTGACTATAGCAAACTAATAATAGCTACTCCCTTTTGGCGCGTCGCGTTGGTTATATTTATAGGCTGAGGAGGCTTTCTAGAAAATTCACATTACGTAACAACACAAATTTAAGCGTTTACGTTACCTACGTCAACTCGTAGTTAACTCGCTCATCGTGAACCCTCGATAAGATATCGAAGAAGTTCCAGACTAAAAGGAAGACTCTATATTGCTTGTAAGTTTGTGAAAGTTTTGTTTATAAATCATTGTTTGTAATAACTATTTGTAATAACTGTTATTGTAAATTGTATTGCCGTGTGTATATTAAAACATATTTGTATAACAGAAAACAGCGTGTATCAATCTTGTTGGCAAATATCATAAACTGACTATATATCAGCATACATTTAAATACTAAATCCAAAGTACAATTTAACTATTAAATTGAAATTATCAATTAACTCAATCTTAGATCATTTGAAATTCTAATACCTAACAAATAGTAAAAGGTAACACTTGAATAAAGAAAATGATATCTATGAATGACATAGTGGCTTAATATATTGTTTGGTTCGCTGTTTCCGCTACAATAAATTAGTGCCACCGAATTCGGCTCATCAATACTGCTTGGAAGAGCAAACGAAAGAAGTTCACTAAGCCTCTTAAAGTAATATTTAGGATATGCAATGAACTTTACATTGGAGAAACGTCTCGTGTATTACATGACGGATTTGTTGAACACACGAGCCTTAAATCAGTTCAACAAAGGAATTAATGTCATAGAAAACCACTAAGTAGAAAAAAAACAGTAAACTGACATTTAATTGTCCTTTAAAAATAGAAATTCTTGCTAGAGCTAATGATTTTCTTGACCATAAATACTAAAAAGCCTCACCGATTTCGAAATATAAGCTGTTACGTATTAGAATTTCAAATGGTCTGAAACTGAGTTAACTTGTAATTTAGATTTAGTAGTTAAATTGTACTTTGGATTTAGCAGTTAAGTAAAAGCCGCTATATAGTCAGTTTATGATATTTGCCAACAAGATTGATACACAATTTTCTTAACACAAATACGTTTCAATATACACACAACAATACAATTTACAATAACACTTATTACAAATAGTTATTACAAATAAAGATTTATAAACAAAAGTTTCAGAAACTTACAAGCAATATAAAATCTTTTTTCTAGTCTGGAACTTCTTTGATATCTTATCGAGGGTTCACGATGAACGAGTTAATTATGAGTTGATGTAGGTACGATTCGCTTAACGGGAAGCTAGCTAGCTTTGTCCCTCGTTATTCATCGGCCACACACGCCGATAACAGGTCGAGTTTCTTTTACCGCTGAAGTTATATAATATCTTCGTAAAGGTACAAATGTCCGATATAAATCCACTGAACTTAAATGATTTACAAACACTTTACAAATGCTCCTGGTCAAATATCTGAAGTTTTCCGATTGATAAGCGTATTAACAATAACAGTTATAGCTTCCAAAGTCTTTAACACACTGACTATAGCAAACTGATAATAGATACTCTCTTTTGGTGCGTCGCGTTGGTTATATTTATAGGCTGTGGAGGCTTTCTAGAAAATTCACATTACGTAACAATACATATTTAAGCGTTTAAGGCTTTGTAACAAATTTGTTATTATATATTTATTTTAATATCAACGTTCGTTTCGATTAAATTTATATTTAGAAACATACATAGCTTATACTGTTAAATATATATTGTGAAACTCCTGCCTATTCTCCAAAGTTGTAGAAGATTCTCGAGAGTAAGAATCAACAATATATGTGGGTACGAACAAATTAATCGCAACAAAGGATGGACATTAAAATCATAGACATGTATATTATATTTATTTCATTCTATTTAACTTTCCATTTTTACTTTTTTACGTCAATATTGAAATTAATTTAATTATAATTTAAGGCTGCACACTTCCAATCATGTCGTTTAAATTAATGTGATTCTATGCTCTTATTTTGTATCAATGCAAACACTGCGTGACTTTATTCCCCACTCTCTATTGTTGTACAGTAATATATAGTTTGCTAGACATTGTAAATTTGGCAGTGTATGAATTAAAATGAAAATTATCGTCAACAGGAGATAATACTAGCTCTTGAAGTTATAACAAAAAATGTGATGATTATACTAAAATAGCTAATAATTTAATGTCTTTCTGAAATGTTTATTATTATATATTACTTTTATAACCTTCACTTTAACTATTTGTCTTCTAAGTTCTTACAAGTTTTAATGTATAACTAAAAATTACAACCTTCATATATGGTACTTTGCCTTAGTGTATTTGGTAGAGCTTATTGGTCGTGTACTGATATTTTTCTGGGGTTGTTTGTTTTAGTGCAAAGCCACATTGTGGTATCTGCTCTGTCCACTGCGGGGAATCGAAATCCGAATTTTTGCGTTGTAAGTTCATAAACTTACCGCTGACCAACCGGGAAACATATCTCTGTAATCAACAAGGTAGGAATTAAGTGTGAAGTATAAAAGTTTAACAAAGCCGCTTATTTGGGTGAATTAAAAATTGTCCTGTTAATAATAATGTGTAATTTTCAATGTATATAGTGTATTGAATATAAACTGCATTTCTTATTTCACCAACTTTTTATTTAGAAAAATGGTTAAAGAAATTTACTATATAAAGCATAGATGCCGGAACAAATTTAAAACTGGGGGTGCTGAAAATGAGGGATTGGGTGCATGTATCTTTAAAATTATTTTCAGATATACAAAAAAATAGCCACTTTTTGTGAATTTTGTAATCACACGAAGTGAGATTTATAAGGAATAAGACAATGACATGAAACGAAGAAACACGAGTCAAAGAATTATTATTATTTATAATAAAAATTTAACCTGAATGGCGGGCCGAATCAACACACTAGCTGCGTCATTCATTTAAAGCCTCATAAGTCAGTTCAGACAGATAACGTGACCGAAGGTTGTCATCATATCATAATGGCACAGATAATGAGAATACATGCCTATTATGACGTCGTTGTTTCTAGCGGGGGGAATATATTTTTATATGTCGCTTTAGTAATTAAAAACGTAATAATTTGCATTGAATAAAGATAGAAGTTGCCTTATACATATCGTCTTGTATGGCTATACTTGTTAAAATATTTTATCTTATTTATATTTAGTCTCATGGTCTGTCTAACAATCTTTTCATTGCCACAATGAGATGATTGGTCCAAATTTCAATTGACATGCATTGATTCATAGCTTATTAAAAATATGATTGCTTCTATTCTATACATCACAATTTTATCAGTATTAAAGCCGACAAATTAATCGTCCAGTTTATAACAAAATCATCTTTTAAAGACGTTTTAACGGTAAATCCTGTAATTCATAAGTTATAAAGATTCAAGTTTACTGTTGTTATTCTAACAGAAGTGAGAAGTCAACTATAAAAAAGTAATTTATAGCTGATTTGAAGTAGTATTGCTTTATTTTTTTTATTTTGCGAACTGTACAAAGAAGTTGTTCCCTTAACACGTTATATCCGTATAAACGCTTCTTTATTAAAAGGAGCAAGTTCAAAGTGTTACATCAACCCAGCTAAGGACATAAAGCGTTAAAAATGCGTCCATTTACTAATTTGTACATGTTAATAATGCGCAAAGTAGTAATGTATCATCTGCTAGTTTTGCATAAGATTTTTATGTTAAGCGTTTCCATCAGTTGACCAACAGAACAATTCCTTTTCAAAATGTTACAATAAAAATTGCACGTTTTTATACGTATATTTTACTAACTTTCTCCCAATAAAATGGTAATCTCGAATCACAATTTCACAGCTGAGTAGAGACCAAATGGAATTTATTCCACTGTCAGTTTTTCTTGAGATCGTTATTTTCTACTGTGTCGTACAAGATGCTGAATGGCCCCTTCTACTTTGACAGCATGTCTTAAAAGACGCATGGCTAACTCTAATAAAAAGTTACAAGGGTAGTAAGCAGGCATCATGCGAGAAAATTAAATTTCTAAAGCGGAATCGGAACTTTTGACTTTATATAAGTAAGATAAAACTGAGACCTAACAATAAAGTTCGTAATTTTATACAAGTTATTGATCTTTTTTTTTTGTTAATCTAGTGTACTGTCAACAAAGTAGTCAAAGTTAAAGTTAGTTTAATAGCTAACTATTTTTTATGAACATATTGTTTTGGAAATGATTTACGCAACTGAAGTAATCTGGTCCAAACTATTAATATGCCAAAGAGGAAAATAACGATTCTTGCTTAGTCGTTTCATTTCAGGTTTGCATTTTAACATTTTTCAGTCTGAATCTACTACACTTTCTTTACAAAGTTAACACTTTTAAATCCACAGTAGATTAAATGTAGTGCTTTATAACCAAGAGCTTTTCTATTTTCACGCGTATTTCTCTACGACAGGTACGATTCGTCTGGACTGGCCATTTTATAGTATAGTTTACATGAAATTATTGTAACAATTCAAAGTAAGGAAATATTCATTATAAAAATAAACAAAATCTGAGCACTAAGAAGAATATAATAAAACCTAAAAACAAGTCATAAAATATAATAATTAAAATATTCTTTAACTTTCTAGTACACAATTATTATGAAAATTCTAAAATCGTTCTTTATCACGAAATGACATGAAAAATTTAATAAGTGCTCGTGACTTGATTTTGTTTTAGTGTAAAGCTGTACAAATGACTATCTTCTGTCTGTTCCAGTACCATATATCCATATGTAATCAAATTTGAAACTCTATATTAAGTTCTTAACTTTGAAATAAGTGAGTGCAGCAAATTTCACGTCCTTCCTCTCAAAGTAATTTTTCAACTTAATAATCTTCTAAAAAATAAAACTAGTAGAAATTACATTACGATTTGTTAACTGATAAACATGGATTTTTTCCCTTCAAAACACAAAAGAATTTATGAAAATTATTCACTGATAAAACAAACTAAAAGAACGCCAGTACCTGTGTAGAAGGAAATTTCTTTTGATACTTTGTAATTTGTTTCTGGAATATAAACTTCGCACTCCAGAAGTATCATTTTTGCCTTGGGTAAATCTTCTTCACTAAACCTTCTAGCCAGCAGTACGGAGTAGCTTCCATTGGTGAGCTTTACCTGCTTTTTAATTTCCTGCAACACCGTATGTTTCTGGAGACCGGGTAGAATTATGCTGAGAGAGATCTCTGGGCGAGGATATAAACCCGTTGCTTCACAAAATATATCCGACCTTGTTCTCGCTACTTTGTTTTGTGATATGGAAAAATTCTTTGCTGGAGCTAGATAGGAATGAACACTCTTATTTATCCATATGTTCTTATAAATCTAGACCAAAGCAAAATATTAAATGCCCATCTATGTGACTCACCTATTAGAGAGAAATACAGTTTTAAGATGTATTGCTGTAAACAAGTCCAATTATTTCGTTTGTTACATTGTTACCTTTATTTATAAGTAGAATGATAATGTTAAATCTACGGTCATTTTTAACATAGCTTTCTACTCCAAACATGATATTGGTGTACAATATATAGAGCAATTTGCATGTTATGCTTCCTCTATTTCAATACTCCATTTTTTTTTTACGTTTTAATTGCTGTTTCAAATTTTTTCAATTCAAACCTTTCTTAGAGAATTTCACAAAAACTGGTATCGGACTTGATCGTAAACTTTCAGTAAAATTTAGTAGAAACGATTGCTTCTCCTATAGCGTAACCTCTTTTTTATTTTCTTTATCATAATCTTCCATCATATTTACATACTCACGTATGCAAATATTTGGTTAGAGAAATATGACCAAGATTAAGCCATCTAGCGTCTAATTCTATAGGCTAAGAAAGCACTTCGAAACTTACACTTATCATTGTTAAAACATGAGTGATTCTGTTGTCTACAATTACTTTATTCGCGCACTGAAGAAAGTTAATGCATACATTTCGGAACCTATGTATATATTTCTTTTGGGCAGTTTGTAAAACTTACGCATGTTTATATATGCGCGTGTGTGTGTGTGAGTAATTGTGTGTGTTAAGCGAGCAAATATTTCATCAGCCGTTTAAAAATTAAAGAATGTGCTAAGGAACATAAAATGGTTCTATGTTTTTTATTTTGTACAAAAGAAATGTGTTTCTAATTTGAATTTACTGTTTCCTTTTGTTTTAAACCCTGGACATTTAAACTTTATTCCCCGATCCACAATCCTAGTTCTCTTTAGATGACCTAATAGAAAAGTGCAACACAGGACACTCAAAACCAGGATCACTACTCAAATAAAATTATTCATATTTTCACTCAAATGTTCACAAAATAAAAAATAAAGTATAATTAATTTTCCCTTCGCACGCACTCTAGACATATATAGTATCGTATTCTTATTATCGAATCTTACCGTAAACCAACATTTCTTTATGGCGTAGGTCCTGGCTAGCTAGTGACGTCACCACGCACGTATATTTCCCACTTATTTCTAAAGTAGGTCTGAGAATATAGAGAGCACGGTATCGAGAGTAACGATCACTTGGCTCAACAGTAAATTCCATGTTAAGTCTACCATATAGAATTCCGGAAACATGACGTTTATCCAGTCCAGGAATCCACTGATAGACTGGCTCTAACTGATCTTTGAAGAACCATTTCACTACTAGACGGACATCACTGACAGTATAGCTGTACTCACAGTCAAGAATCACGTGATCTGTCCCATTTCGAACCCAACGCGGTACTGAAAGCCTCTCTATCTTTACAGAAAAGGTAACTGAAAAAAAGTGAAAATGCTCTATGATTACTGCGTATAGAAATGGATAGGAATTATTTTCTAAACCTAAAGTGAGTTATCAAGAACTTACCAAGTAAAATATTTTTAAGCCTGATAAAAAATAAACTGCGAAGCATTTATTCCACAAATTGTATAATAATACAAAATTATCTTATGAAACATTTAAGCAGATTTATAACTGTAATTTATTTCTTCCAATTTTGCTTCTGTGACGTTTTCTAAGTGATAACAAGATTTTATTAATTGATTATCATGATCTGTAGAAACCTAACAAAAAAACTTTCAGATACCAATAAACCTGACACATGTTTTTAGATATGAGTTAGGACGAAGTATAACGACGATCTATCCAGAAGATGCTTTCAGACTATAAGTTAGGGTGAAGTATAACGACTTATTCAGCACATGCTTTTAAACTGTAAACTACGTATAAGTGTAACGACCATTTCAGCAAATGCTTACAGAATATAAACTAGAGGTGAAGTATGACGACGTATTTAGCACATGCTTCCAGCTTATAACCTAGGGTGAAGTAAAACGACTTATTCAGAACATGCTTTCAGGTTACTACATGTTACAGTAATCTAATGTTCATCTATTATTGGCAGGTAATTTTTGTTTCACTTTGTACCTAAGCTTTTCAAAGGAACAACAGGTTTCTGTAAGAAAGCTAACTTCTAGCTTCTAATGACCTCTAGAGACGAAAATCCAGATGACTTTTGTATTGCTTTAATATGGGCGTCTGTGCCATCCTTTCATAGAGAGTGCTCTCCCATAAACTAGGGTGAAATATAACGATTTATTTAGTACATGTTTTCAGATTATAAGTTAGGGTGAAGTATAACGACCTAATGAGAACATGATTTCAGATTATAATCTAGGGTGAAGTATAACGATTTATTTAGTACGTGTTTTCAGATTATAAGTTAGGGTGAAGTATAACGACCTATTAAGAACATGATTTCAAATTATAAGCTAGGGTGAATTATAACGACCTATTGAGAACATGCTTTCAGATTATATACTAGGGTGAAGTATAATACCCTATTGAGAACATTATTTCAGATTATACACTAGGGTGAAGTATAACTACCTATTGAGAACGTGCTTTCAAATTATATACTAGGGTGAATTATAACGACCTATTGAGAACATGCTTTCAGATTATATACTAGGGGGAATTATAACGACCTATTGAGAACATGCTTTCAGATTATAAACTAGGGTGAAGTATAATGCCCTATTGAGAACATGCATTCAGATTATAAGCTAGGGTGAAGTATAATGCCCTATTCAGCACATTTTTTCAAACTATAAATCAGGGTGATGTATATTGACTTATTCAGCGCATGCTTTCAGATTACAAGCTAGAGTGATGTATATTGATCTATTGAGAACATGCTTTGAGATTATAAGCTACGGTGAAATATAACGACTGTCACGTGTTTTTGGCTTCCTTATTCCTCTTCTAACTTAGTAATATTACAGGTATATACGATTTGCTTCTTGCTCCCTTTTCAACTTAGGATGCGAATTTGTTAGCAATAGCTAAGTGAGGCGCACACTGTGCCTATATACATATATATATGGGTTAGAAATTCAAAGTGTGTTGGTTGTGGTAAGAAGATCGTGTAAGATGTTGTTTGGGAGTTTCTTTTATGTGTAAGTTTTGACTATTAAATTTTGATTAAACGTCACCCGATGCCTGTGTTGTTAATACGTGAGTATCATTACAAACGTCGGCGAATTCCATACGTAACAAATTGGGGGCTCGTCCAGGATTTGGTTAAACTGAGTGGAATCATTTACAGGTAACAAATATGGGAAGGGTGATTGAATGGTTGAAATTAGGAAAACCTCCAAGAGAAGTTCTCTAGTCTATGAAAAAGACCGAGGTGTTGGAGGTGTGTGAACAATTAGAAATAGATCGCAAACAGTCAGTGAAAGAAGAGGAGCTTACATTCTTGATTGTGGACAGACATGTAGATGATGACAGAATGCAGGAAAGTGTGTTGGGACTGTCATGAAAAAGACGATCCTACATCTAAACGTTTCGAACATGATTTGAAGTTAAAACAACTGAAATGGCAAAGAGAAAGGAAGATAGAAGAATGGTAAAGGCAAAGAAAAGAATAGCAAAGAGAATTAGAATTATCGAGGCTAGAAAAGGAAATGGAATAAATAAAGTTAGAAATTGAAAATGAAGAAAGGATCAGGCTAAAAGATCTTGAAATTAAAAACCAAGAGCGTTCTAGCAAAAAATCATAACTAAAATTTGACCCTAGTCGTCATGTTAAAATGGTACCACCATAGAATGAATATCAGGTAGATAAATATTTTCAACATTTCAAGAAGGTAGCACAAAGTGTATAAAGGCCCGACAGTTCCTGGCCAATTTCATTGCAAAGTGTCATTATAGGCAAAGCTCAAGAAGCTTATAGTGCACTCTCGATTGACGATTGTACGGAATATGATGTTGTAAATCTGCCATTCTCAAAGCCTATGAACTAGTTCCTAAGGCATACAGGCAAAAATGTCATAATTATCAACAACACGAAAACCAAACTTATATGGAATTCGCCCATGAGAAAGAAGTTTATTTTGAAAGGTGGTGCACAACTAAAATCGTGAACGACAACTTTGAAACAATTGATTTTGATGGAAAAAATATAACAGGTGGGTTTAGGATGACGTCAAGACTTATCTTGACGAGAAGAAAGTAGAAACTTTGCAACAGGCTGCCACACTGGCTGATGATTTTGCCTTATCTATAAAGTTGGATTCAACAAGCCGAAACACTTTGATTCTCCCCCTCATAGAAATGGAGGTAGTTGTAGTAGTTGCAATGGGCATTCGAGTAGTGATCCAAAGTTCTCCTTTGCTCCTAAATCTGGTCGAAGTTACCAATCAAATCCAAGAACGGGTACGAGATCCAGTCAGTTACATTATAGTGCTCCTGTTTGTCATTATTGTAAGAATGAGGGTCACGTAATTTCCAAATGTTGGACTCTGAAAACAAAGAATAAATAGGTGTCACCTAATGCTTTTGTTTCCTCTCATAAGAGTCATTGTGAGTCTGAACCTGTGAGAAAAGAATTTCTGCCATTTGTGTCAGAGGGTTTTGTGTCCATTAGCAAGGATAAGTCTAATCCCATGCCTATTTGATTTTTTTGGGATACTGGGGCTATTCAGCCTTTGTTATTGCGGGAGACACTGCCTTTTTCTAGTGAGTTAGCTAGTGATGAATTTATTTTAGCCCAAGGCATTGAGGGTAGCTTTGTGAATGTACCTCTCCATAAAGTTTATTTACAGTTCGACTTAGTCTCAGGATTTGTTACCGTAGGTGTTAGGCCTATTTTGCCAGTTAATGGTGTATCTTTGTTGTTGGTTAATGACTTGGCAGGTAGTCAGGTGATTATTGATCCTTGTGTTGTTTCGAAGCCAAGCCCTTGTGAGGATAGTAAATTGGTTGAAGCAGGAATATCGGATTTATTTTCAGCCTATGCTGTGACTCAAGCGATGGACAAAAAAGGCATCAGTAGATACTGGAAATTCAGCAAGGATTAAAGCTGAGTTACAGAATGATTTTATTGATTTGTCAGGTACATTTATGTCACATATCGAAGACAATGATCATCATTCTGGTATAATATACTCTCTCAGAGATAAAATTTGTAAGGGGGTCTGACAGGTGAAGTAATATGAAGGTTGAATTGTCTTTGAAAAGTCAGCTTCTTTTAGAACAGCGGAAAGATCCCGAGATTGTTGTACTTGTAAATAAGGATATTTATTAGATTTTTTTCCCTGTAGGAAATTTCATTAAGGATGGTGTACTCATGAGAAAATGGCGCCCAGCTGATACTTCCGACAAGGAAGAATGGGCTATTGTATACCAAGTTGTTGTGCCCAGAGCATATAGATATGAGATAATGAGACTGGCACACCAGAATCCATTGGTTGGACATGTGGGTGTGAACAAAACAAGATAATCAGACATTTTTGGCCAGGTTTTAGGTGTAACTTCTCTGAATTTTGTAAAACTTGCCACACATGTCAGATGGTTGGTAAACCTAATGTTTCAGTACCTGTTGCTCCACTGCAGCCAATTCCTGTTTTTGATGAACCATACAGCAGAGTTATTATTGATTCTGTTGGTCTGTTACCAAAAACTGTGAGAGCTAAAATTTAAGCTTTTATGGATTTTCCAACACCAAAAACTGTGAGATCACAGAACTTATCTAAGATTGTAGTTCAACTCACCAACTTGACTAAGAAGAAACTAATGTTTGTCTGGAATCTCAAATGTGAACTGGCATTCAATATGTTGAAAGCCTTGTTATGGAACACTCCAGTGTTAAAGGCATCAGATTTTTGTAAACAGTTCACGTTGATCGTTGACGCCAGTGATCTAGGAATGGGAGCCATTCTGTTGCAAGATGATGATGATGATGGTATTGAACATCCGTTTTTTTTATCTTTTCAGAAAATTCATCTGTAACCAGAACTATTCCACCATTAAAAAAGAATTGCTAGCCTTGCAGCACTTTGATGTTTATGTTCATTCTTCTGTAGAGAAAGTAATTCTGCATACAGACTATTGACAATTTTGAGTAAAATAAGGAACAAAAACCGAATACTTTTAAACTGGAGCTTAGTGTTGCAGGAGAATAACTTGGGGCCCGGCATGGTTAGGTGGTTAGGACGCTCGACTCACAATCTGAGGGTCGTGGGTTCGAATCCCCGTCACACCAAACATGCTCGCCCTTTCAGCCGTGGGGCGTTATAATGTGATGGTCAATCCCACTAATCGTTGGTAAAAGAGTAGCTCAAGAGTTGGTGGTGGGTGGTGATGACTAGTTACCTTCACTTTAGTCTTACAAACTTGGATATCAAATATATTAAGGGGAAATATAATGTTATTGCTGATGCACTGTCTAGAGACATGTAAAGGTTCAAAGTTGTTATGTTAAATTATATAATCTAAAAATATTTGTATGGGTAAGTTTGTGTCAGAATTTAAAAATGTGATCCTCGCCAATTGTCAAAATAAAATGGATTTGAGTTATATTTATTAATAGTATAATATATACTATGTTGTTGTTGGGCTTAAGATTCTTCTACGGCAGATGTCCGTGACTTGTTAGCGATAAATTCAACGATGAATAAATAGCACGCACTTCACTTGTTTTCAAAATAATATATATATATTCAGAACAAGTTAACGTATGTACAATAACTTCTTTAACACTATATATATTATGGACATATCATAAATACTATATATGTAGTTCTCTCCTTCTTGTCAAATATCCACTTAGGCCTATTCATTTACTTAATAATTTCAGTTGACAAGCCGAACTATCTTCTCTATTTCAATTGCACTCATATTCTCTGTGATTCACTTACAATTGTGGTGCAAGTTATCGTAATTGTTTGGTCTTCTTTCTTTTGAAGATCCCCTGTTCCTTTTGTCAAAGTGCACTCAGGCTTATTCAAGTTTCTTAGAACCACGCTTTGACGGAATAAAATTATCTTTCTTATCTTCTTTTCTACTGTTAGTTTCACTCTAACATATTAATCTTTAGGCCTATGTCAATCGATAGGCTCATCACTTCTACGGTAGTTAACTTCACACCAACTTTATTCTCTGTTGCTATTATCTGTCTGCTTCTTTCTGTCTCCTGCTTCCCGCTCGTCTCACGCTATTTATATATTTATTACCTAATCGTCTGTCCACCTTCTATATTCTCGTCGTCAATATATTGCACGTGACGTTCGATATTCTCAACATCAAATAATTATTAACAAAACTTCCTAAAATCATCTGCTTTTAACTCTTATTATAACAAAAACTAAACAATGATAAAACATTCATTCTCAAAACTAAATTAATCAATACTATCTGAACAAAACAGTCGTTTATATCATGACATGAACCCTTCTTCAAGATAAAATATTTACAATATTTTTTTTTGCTATGTATAAAGACTGTTCTTCGTTCGTACACAAAGTCTGCTCATACAGTCTGCACTAATATCCACAGTTCCTGTGTGTCTGTCTCTCTTAGCATAGGGTCTCCAGTAGGTCTTCTCCTTAACAGGATCCCCCATCTTCATTTTGACCTTGTATTGTCTGAGGTTCGTATTTCTTAATCTATCTGTACGCTGACACAGATTTTGCTCTTCGTCCTATCAGTCAGTTTGACACTCATATTGACATCATTGTAAGTCTCATCTCTACACAGACCATAGTAGGCTTTTATCTTCTATAATGAGATCCCTGTCTTCGAATTATGATTTTATGACAGCCACACCTGCCATGTCCATTTGTACAATTGCTGCACCTATTAGGTTTTCTTTTCTCCAGAAATACTTCTTCAACAGATTGGCATGGTAGATCATGGTCTTCCCATTCCCATTCACGTTGTAGTCCATTCTGTTGAGTACTTCCAGTACTTCAAAAACCCCTTTCCATTGCAGGGTGAGTTTGTTCTGGTCTGTTGGCAGCAGAACGAAGACCTTTTGTCCAACCTTAAAATGTCAATCCTTGACCTTCTTGTCATAAAAATGCTTCTGACTACATTGAGCTGCATACAAACAATGTCAAGCGAGATGACAGATCTCCTTCGGTCGATTTCCGAGGTCTAACTCATACTGGTATGTGTTCTTTACTTCTGACTCTTCTTCTCCGGTCCATAACTCTTTCGGTATTTGCAATGGACTTTGCACTGTTTTTCCATCCAGTAACTCGAAGGGTGAAAACCCTGTACTTGCTTGTGGGACTACTTGATAACCGAATAATACTGCCTGCAAGTACCAGTCCCAGTCATGTGGTCTCTCTTGGCACATCTTCTTTAGCATACTCTTTAAAAAACCATTGATTCTCTTGCAAAGTCCATTACATTTAGGATTGTATGGGGTGGTAAGAGTTGCTGAGCACTGATGAGTCTGAACACTTCCTGCATCAGTTCTAAAGTAAACTGGGTCCCTCTATCACTCAGTATTTCTTTCAGAAAACCTACTCTACAAAATATATCCAGGATGGCTTCTGCTACTCTTTCTGTCTCTATCTTCACCAGTGCTATTGCTTCCAGATAATGTGTTGCATAGTCAACTAATGTTAGAACATACTGGTTGCTCTTGTCAGACACAGGCACTAGTGGTCTGATCAAGTACACAGCTGCTCTGCTGAACGGCTCTTCTATGAGAGGCATCTGTCCAATGGCACTTTGGCTACCTTCTTTCTAGGTATTGTCTATTGGCAGATGTCACATGACCTGCAGAAACTACTCATATCTACGATGACTCCTGGCCAATGTAAGATACTGGTGATTCTGTCAGCTGTCTTCTTTGTTCCTAGGTCTCCTACCACAATTGATTCATGAGCAACTTCATCATTTGAGTCCAATATACTGTTAGTAATAGGATCTGTTTAACTTCCCCAGTATAACTGCCTTGATAGATTTCATATAGAACTCCCTTCCGATCCTCTATTCTATAAGTATTTTTCCACTTTGGTTTTTGCTCAACTTTCTTTCGGGCATTGTCCCAAAGTTTCTGCAATGAAGAGTCTTTCTTCTGTGCTTCCTTAAGTTCATGCAAACCTAAATTCGAGATATCACCTTTTGACACTTGCAGGGTCTTGATGTCTTGTTTTCTCTACTTTTCTTGAGCTCTGGTAGTGCCTGCAGATACTTCATCAATCTTCGTTCCGTCTAGTTCCTCAAAGTTTCTACTACCTGGTATGTTTCCTATCACCAAGTCGTGTATTGGTTCCTTGATACATATGACCTCAAGGTCTTCTACATAATATGGAGTATCCACCTTTATTTTTGCTATGGGAAACTTTCTCACTGTCCCATCAATTAGCACACACAAGCATACCTTGCCTGTCATCTGAGCATTGGATATTAAACCTGTTCTCACTGCTGCACTACTGCACCCAGTTTCTAGTAGAACCTTCACTTTCTTGTCTCCAACATAGCCTTTACATATTGGCATACTATTATTTCTTGGCACCTCTTGATATTTGTCACATGCTCCCATCACTGTTGGCACTGTTGATCCGTTTCTTAATTTAAGCTGACCATTAGTCGTGCATTGATCAATCATGCTTTCTTGTATTGAATTTGGCAAGTAATCTTGATTCTCGTTCTTCTAACAGCAGCATCCATAGCGCCAGTCACTCTTTTCTTGTTTCTTACCAGCACTGTCTTTGTAATTGGCTCTAGCTGCTTTATGTTGAGGTTTCTGCTATTGTGTGCTGGTAATGGACTTGCACTCTTTCTCAATGTGCCCCATTTCATAACAACCATAACATCTCTTCTCTCTTCTGTCTAGTAACCTCCTGTCACCTTTGGTAAACTCCTGCTTCTGGTCAGCCATCACTCGTTTCAAACATAACTGGACATTCTTGGACTTGCCAGTTATACTACCTCCATGGACTTCCATATACTGTTCTGCCAGCTTGATTATCTTGTCTACATCTTTCAAACTATTTTCACACATGGCCATGTTAGTCCATCTGGTGAAATATCGCCAAACAAGTGTTACAAACTGAAATACAGTTTCTCCAGTGTCTAGTTTAACACTTCTGATCTTCCGACGAAAACCTTCTTCAGTAAGGTCATTAAATTTCAACAAAGCTACTTTTAATTTGTCATAATACATAGCATCTTTTGACGTCACGCTTGCATATACTTGATACTTGTAGGCCTTTACCTGTTAGAAGTGGGCTGAGACAGACTGCCCAGTCGCCTTTATCTCTCCAGGAAAGCATCCATGTCATCTTTATGTTCACCAAATGTGGGCAGGTTGAGTCGGCTAGCCCTGACTCCATTGTCATTCTTGGTTCCTTCTTCTGTTGGTTGGGTGAGTTTTGCTATCTCAATTTGTGCTCTTATTCTCTCTATTTCTAATCTCTCGTCTCTCTCTTTTTATCATTTCTTAATTTGTATTCTCAGTCTCTCCATTTCTAGTTTCTCCTTTCTCTCCTTTTCTTTTTTCAGTCTTTCTCTTTCTTCTTTCTCAAATTGTCTCTTCTGTTGCTATTCTTCTCTTTCCAGTTCTTATTGTTGTTTCACAAACTCTCGTAGTTCACTTTCTTTTAACCCAAGTTGGGATCCTCTTTCTACCCATTTATCAAAATCTGTTAACAAGGTTATATAGCGTAATTTCAATCTCTTCACTATTTTCATTACTACTACAGTTGTACTTATATAGGTAGTCCTACTTATTTCCGCTGTCATTCATGTTTTCTTCTATCGCCGTTTACCACTGTATAATCTTGGCTGTGGCTCGCCAACTGTCAGAATCTAAAAATCTGATCTTCACCAACTGTCAAAATAAAAAGGCTTTTAGTTATATTTCTTAATAGTATTATATATATACTATGTTGTTGTTTGGCTTAGGTATCTTCTACAGTAGGTGTCTGTGACTTGTTAGCGATAAATTCAACTATGAATAAACAGCATGCACTACGTTTGTTATCAAAATAATATATATATCCAGAACAAGTTAACGTATGTACAATAAATTCTTCAACAATATAGATATTATGGACAGATCATAAATACTATATATGTAGTTCTCTCCTTGTCAAATGTCCACTTAGGCCTATTCAATTACTTTATAATTTCAGTTGACAAGCCGAACTATCTTCTCTCTTTCAATCGTACTAATATTCTCTGTGATTCACTTACAATTGTGGCGCGAGTAATCGTTTGGTCTTCTTTCTTTTGAAGTTCCTCTGCTTCTTTTGTCAAAGTACACTCAGGCTGATTCAATTACTTTTGAACCACACTTTGATGGAATAAAATTATCTTTCTTATTAGTTTCACTCTAACATATTAAACGGTAGGCCTATGTCAATCGTTAGGCCTATCACTTCTACGCTAGTTAACTTCGCACCAGCTTTTGCTACTATCTGTCTGCTGCTTCCCGCTCGTCTCATGCTATTTATATATTTATTACTTAATCGTCTGTCCACCTTTTATATTCTCGACGTCAATATATTGCACGTGACGTGACGTTCGATATTCTCAACATCAAATAATTATTAAAAAACTTCCTACAATCATCAGCTTTTAACTCTTATTATAACAAAAACTAAACAATGATAAAACATTCACTCACAAAACTAAATTAATCAATACTAGCTGAACAAAACAGTCTTTTATATCATGACAATCTTTACTTGCTTTATTGAACTGAACTATTAATGCCAAGTCATAATGTTATTATTATTGTTATTGTTTTCTGTGTATAATACAAGAAATATGTAGGAAGGTACTAAATTCTGGATATAGAAATTTGCCATTTTATGCCAAATTATCTTTGTTAGGAGGGAAAGTGTGTATTTGGCTTCCTTATTCCCCTTGTAATGTTTCATGTATATATATGATTTGCTTTCTTACGCCCATTGGGACTCAGTGATACTATTTGTTTTTTACTGTGATTGGCCAATCACCACTTAGCAATAGCTAACTGAGGCACTTAATGTGCCTGTATATATATATATATATGGTTACGAATTCAAAGTGTGTTGGTTGTGGTAAGAAGATCGTGTAGGGTGTTGCTTTGGTGTTTGTTTTATGTGTAAATTTTGATTATTAAATTTTTAATTAAACGTCACCCAATGCCTGTGTTATTAATCATGACGAACGCCGGCGAAACGTAACAGAACGTACTCAGAACATGCTTTCAAGTTATAAACTGGGTTGAAGAATAACGATTTATTCAGTAGAAAGTAAAGTTTTAGATTATAAGCTAGGGTGAAGTATATCGCCCTATTCATCAATTTGTTTTTCAAATTATAAACTAGGGTGAAGTATATTGGCCTATTCAGCAAATGTTTTCAGATTAAATGCCAGGTTGAAACATAAGGACACGTTGGACACTCATCATAATTACCGAATATCCAGAACTTTTCAGTGGACTTTCAGCCATTGTTGAATTACTGGGATGTTTGGTGTCATGTGAAAAGATTCCTGAATGGGAATGTTGAACAATTTGAGACCTTGTCATTGCTCAGTTGTGCATTAATTAACATCCCATTTTTATCAGTTGATTTTAATCTTTTAAGTATTTTTCCAGACTTAAATTTTAAGAAGTGACAAGAACATAATTTATATCTCTTATGTATTTTTACTTATCATATGTATTCCTGCAACTTAATTCGGGCTGACATCATATGTATATGTAACAGCTCAACGCATGCACTCTGAGTACTTACAGCTCTAATTACACAAGGTGCTTCACTGCACTGCAAATGTTACATAGTGTTAGATACTGAGACAACTAAATATTGTGAAATATATTGTACTATGCAATATGTGATGTTGTTGTTTATCAAATGTGTGTGTGTGGATCATTCCTATATCAAATTTTTGAATACTACAAAAAAGTTTGTCTTTATAAGAAACATGACAGCACAT